GTCATACAAGCAGCAAATATTCACACTGTAGAAGCTGAAACAAATCAGCTTTTGTTATTTTCTATAAGGACATAATCGAATATTTTCAGTCCTTTTCTCCGCCTTTCTCTCACGTTTCTTGTTCACTCTATTACCATCACTCTCTTTTTGTGATCACAGCTCATTATAACACCTTTATTATTATCATTACACCTACAACTGCTAAAACATGATAAACACGATGAAACCCAGTATGGAAGTAAATGAATGACAATAAAATACAAAAAAGTTTTATTCTATTCAGTGGGCTTTTGTTCACTATTAATGGTCTAATATTTCCTTTATTTAATTCATTTTAATACATTTATCAATATAGCCAATTATTAATTTGTATATTCTCACACTTTCCTACAATGGCAGAGCAAATTAAGAACATTTCTTAAGATTTTTAAAATCTTTTTTCATTTACGTTCACTACAGCAGGCCTTCAAAATAAAATGTATCATCCCTGTGTGTGCCAACATTAAACTCGATACACAGCAGAATCTTTAAAAAGCCTTCATCTTACACAGATTAGTCTTATATATACACCATATATATTACTCCAGAGAAAGAGATTTTCCAACAAGTTAGAAGTTGTATCTGGTTGTTTGTGCTCTACCTGTGAAACTCTGATTGGAAGCAGAGCCCATCCCGCCGCTCTCTGCTGCTTATCCCCGGACTTGAAGTGCACTGAGCGGCTGCTGCCAGCCTCTCACACCTCCATGCCACCTCCACCACAACAAAAGCCCGCCTTCCCCGAGACCCCAAGAGATGTTTCTGAATAGACAACCACCCAGCCCCTCAGAAGGGAAAGAAACAGACAATGCAAGAGGAAGAAAAGCCAGCCCTCTCTTCTATTCAACCTTTCTTCCCTCTTTCAGAGCATCTGCAAAGAAGCTCTTCATACCTTCTGCCATGGTGGGAGGTTTCCACAGCCTCCTCCTGCAGAAACAGCTCCGGCCCAGCAGATATCAGATCAAATGAGTTAATTGCATGCTGGACATCCGTGCACGTTCTCTCCGTGTGTGTGTGTGTGT